ATGCTTTTACATTCTCCATAAAGGCATGTAGCAGAAATGTTAGTTTTGGCACTAAGGTAATCTAGGTCAGATGCTTAGGTAAATCAGGCTAGAAATTCCATAACAGCTAGTGCAGAGGCACATGAGGGAAATCTCGTGCTGTCTGCAAGTCTTACAGCTGAGGATAAGCTGATGTGTTTTGAATGAGACCTATTTCTAGGTGATCTCAAGAGGTCTCTTCCATCCTCAATATTTCTATGGTTTGTTGAGGGCCACTCCACCAGAATAATTCAGCTTTGAGTTGCAGTTACTAAATAATGTGTACTAAAAAGAAACACATGCACACACCTCCACTAGAGATAGTCTAACGTTTTTAAAGCAGAAAATATCAGTGTAATAAAATTATCACCAAGAAAAAGTTGTTCAAAGGGAGTTTCCTTTTAAAATTATGAGCAATAAAAAAATTTTGTCCAGCTACAGATACCGTCTATACCTTATGTAAATTTTCTTTTTTCCTTTCTTTTTTCTTAAAACCTTCTAATATTGTCTTGCTTCAGACACGTTTTACAGTACAGTTGGCTGTCATCCCACCCGCTGTGGAGAATTTGAGCAGAGTAACCCTGAACAGTATTTATCTGAATTAAAAAATCTGATTGAAGAAAATAAGACAAAGGTAATAGCAGTTGGAGAATGTGGCTTAGGTAAGTGTTATCTTAGTATTTCAATATCTTTTTTTTTCTAGACATATATTAAAGAATCCTAAAACACTAAGTGGGTTTTATGTTCTCTCTGTTGTAGATTTTGATAGATTAGAATTTTGCCCAAAGGACATCCAACTCAAGTAAGAAACTTTTGATGACTATAAATTGACTTGTAGCAATTTACAGGAGTGTTTTCTATCTTGTGTTCCACCAGGTAACATCTTGTCAGGTGGAGACCTGCAGTTTGCAGGGTTGGATCTGGGGGGGGGGGTTTGGCAGAAATGGGACTTTAAAGAATAATGCATACATTAAAGTAGTGCTGTGTGCTAAATTTTGCTACCTGCCTGGTTGACTTAGCATGGCTCTTTCTGTAAAACTGATCAGAATTTGTGGGTTTCTGGGTGTGGCAGATGTTTGTTCCTGGTAATACTCAAGAACTCTTAGAGGCTCATAGGGAGAGTAACATAACTGTAGTGTGTGAAAGAAGAATTAGGTTAACCTGAGTGAGAGGCATGGGGAAGACTGTCAAAAAGGGTAAGTCAGCAGTAGAAGAAAATGAGCTTTTAAGGGCAGTGTTAGCTGGGAGCAGATAAGTGAGAGCTGATGAAAAAGGTGATCTCGGGAGCTGAAGAGGTTCTGTTTTGAAGTAATACATGCAGCATAGATACTGAATGGGAAGAAGCTAGCACGGCCCCTAAAATCAGCTTGCATTGTAGTGAGAATTGTCTACAGAGGGAACTGACTAAAAGATACAAGTGGTAAATTCAAGTAAGATCAGTCATAAATGAATTGCACCTGCATATTACTGTTCTGAGTAAATTAGTCACTGGGGGGCAGTGGTTAGTTGTGTTTTTTCTAATAGCCACATGTTAGCAGTTGGTAGAGTTTCTTCGTAATGCTACAGTCATACATTAAAATATTCAGCAAAGTGGACAGAACTGTTTTTCCTAGTAGAATTCAGTGTACACAAAGTTCAGCAAAGCACACCTTGGAGCATAAACTGTTTCTTTGCTGTAGCAAACACTGGTGGAGTATCATATTTTAAGATCCTTACGGTCTTGATGTTACTGGGAGAAAAAAAAATACCTGATTTTCCTTATCTGATGGACTGCAACTGAAGACATGTAGTGAAAAACAACTAATCAAGTGCACTGAAATTCCATTGTGAGGAAGGAGGTGACAGGGTGGAACAGAAATCACTTAAAGTGGTAGGGAGTCCTTTCTAATTAAGGTTGATAATGACAGAAAGTCTTTATCTGAGCTTTTTCAGTAAATCATATGAAATACAAAGATCTAGTTTCTAAGAGATCTATTGAGAGCCCTTGCTGGAAACTGCAGTTGGAGGGAGGCGATTGATGAAAAAAGCAGAGAGCAAGAAATATGAGGGATTGAAGAATCATAGAAATGGTTTGGGTTGGAAGGGACCTTTAAAGGTCATCCAGTCCAACCCCCCTGCAATGAGCAGGGACATCTTCAACTTGATCAGGTTGCTCAGAGACCCGTCCAACCTGGCCTTGAGTGTTTCCAGGGATGGGGCATCTACCACCTCCCTGGACAAACCTGTTCCAGCGTTTCGCCACCTTCATTGTAAAAAATTTCTTCCTTATATCTAGTCTGAATCTACCCTCTTTTAGTTTAAAACCATTACCCCTTGTCCTATCGCTACAGGCCCTGCTAAAATGTTTGTCCCCATCTTTCTTATAAGCCCCCTTTAAGTACTGAAAGGCTGCAGTAAGGTCCCTGGAGCCTTTTCTTCTCCAGGCTGAACAACCACAACTCTCTCAGCCTGTCTTCACAGGGGAGGTGTTCCATTCCTGTGATCATTTTTGTGGCCTCCTCTGGACCCGCTCCAATGGGTCTGTGTCTTCCTTAAAGAAATATTGAAAGCCTTAAGGACACATGCCTGCAAACACTGTGTTTGTAAATTCCGTATTTTCTAAATGGACAGCTTTCCCTGCTCTTCATCCTCCACATGTTTGTGAAATATGGTCAGGGTTTAGGCTTGTTTTAATTTCTGCTAATTGAATGCTACAGAGTTGGGTACAATCTGGCTTGCATGACCTTTAGCAGACTGGATGGTGAGTTCTTTGAATTAATATTCAATGTATGCTTGATAAAAGAACTTTAAAAAAAAAAAGGAAGGCAAAGTGTGAAATGCATGGAGGCAGGTCACCAGTTTTTAGCTGATCTGTAGTTCAGGTGGTATGGCAGTCACTGGGATAGCTAGCAAGCAGCTGCAGAGTCACCCTGCAGAAGAGAAGTATGGTAGTTTCCCAGTGGGCAGTATCTGAGCGTGACCTCTGTTTTGTTTAATGTTTAATCATTATTTTCTAGTTAGTTATGCTGTGCTTTCTTCTGGATAATTTTCACCTGTAAAAAATGAACATTTTTTTATCTTTTTTTTTGGATTGAAAAGCTAATGAAGATGAGAAGCTACTGAAGATTAAATTCCTTTGTTGAGGCAGTCCCAAGAGCTTGTTTTGTCAGAATTTGTCTCCATTCTCATAACTTTTCCAACAGAAAATGGTGATTTGAATGGTAGCTAGATGAAGGTGCTGCCTTCATATTATGGTGAAGGTCACATTATAAATGAGCTGATAAGTATATAGAAGTTTCACTTCTGCTGTGCTACTGGGAGGGGTTTGTAGAGCTTAGCAACACAGAAAGAGGAGTTTTCTTAACCAAACTGGAAGGGATGAACAAAATCACATGCACTGTTATTCGTGAATCCAGAATTGTTTGTCTGGGGATATTCTACCTCAGCAAGGCCAGTTTGCTTCAGCTCCTTTAGTGTCTTGATCCCAAGCCTGAAAACGCCACAGTACTTGAATTTTATTGTCAAAACTAAACCTTGCAAACAACCATGCAGAACTATTTTTCAAACTCCCTTATTGAGAAGCAACATAGAACCAGCATCTATTGAATGACAGCCTGTTCACCCAAAGAAAAAGGTTGTTCCTTCAGCACTGGAACTAGTAAGGTTTAGTTTCCTACTGACTTATTTTGTTACCATTCTGATCACCGTATCTTTGGTTTCTTCATGCTTTTCCAGGGTTTCTCTTCGCTTTGGGTTTATTTGTTTCCTTCCAAGAACTTCCCCATTTACCTGTCCTTTCTCTT